CCTGTAGTTGCTAACATCAGCAGTACTTTCACTTTTATGAAGGGGGTAACTCTTGTCATCTTCCACTGTGTTGGAAATTTACCAGACCGGCTGCTTAGGTTTATAATAAAGGTAAGTGACGGTGCTATTTCAGCATGAACCATTTTCAACAGCTTAGCACTAACATCATCAAGACCAGTAGATGTATGTTCGTCCAAACCTTTCAAAAACTTAATTACAAAATCATGAGACATATTGGGGATGCCAAAGTTGATATTATCATTCAGTTTATCACATATATACTCTTTCAACTTCTGGAAAGAGGCCGTAACATGTTCAAGTTGAGACGTCAGTTTACCAGCAATCTCAGTGAAATATTCATTGAACTGGTTTGCCATTTCACTTTTTTCAGTGATGGATTATTACGTTGTCAATTTTGGGGCTTTAAGCTATCGTATCAGCTAATCCCATTGTCTCCAATTTTAACTTCTCTATTAAGAAAATGTGTCATAATTATACATATTTTCATATTTTTTTTCAATACTATAAATGACCGCCACAATAATGATTGAGACATATAGTATAGTAGAAAAAGGTCCCTTTCAAATATTGGAAAAAATGAAGTCCATTTGAAACTTTAGCAGAAATTAGACCTTAATGCAGTAATTATATTTACTAGTTTATTTAGTGAGGTTCTAGACAGAACACAGTTTTTGAATAATAATAAAATTCATGAACAATATAAGACTAGGAACTTTATCAAAGTACTGCATTGGGATTTTTTTTTATCATAAATGTTTGTGTATACATATAAAAAGGAGTGTTTTTGGAAAACTATTCTCTGTATACATAAGATATAACAAGTTATCTGAATTAGTACGATATAAATGGATATGAATGTAAACAGACTTAATCAAATGTACAATTTCTAAATGATTAACTTCCGTATCTTAGACGTACCTTGACATGTACTTTTGTTATATGTATTGCTGACTATGCCTTGGTATGGAAGTTAAAACAAACGAAAGAAGGAAAATAGCCCTTGCCTTTCCTACTTTCAGTGAAACAGGCATATTTTTAATATGCAAGAGACATGAAATGAATCAAATAAACAAAGTTAAGAATGAATAGTGACTTGTTACAGCACATTCAAAAATAGTTGTAATCAGAACCAACAACCAATTTTACTAAATTGAAGATTTATCAAATGTGGTTCCATCAACAGATGTGTAACCAGACAACGTATAAACACTTAACTCCAATAATGTTCTGTAGGTACATTGTTTTGTACACATGTGGTTCGTAGATTACCACGTACTCCAAATAAGTATGGACAATCTACTCATCCACGTGGAAGGGGGAATATAAGCTACTTTTTAGCTGAGAAAACCCAACTTATAAGAACACGATGTCACCTTTCATTTTACATCTCTTTATATAACGGTACTGTTAGAAAACAACACATTCAATCGACAGTTTACATATAATGCTTATTTTGATTTTCTGATGTCATCTCTCACTCTTGGTTTTTCATTGATTGATTGGTTTTTCGTCCGCTTTACTACCGAGTAGTTCGGTTATCCAGCAGACGAAGCAAAGACAGAAAAAAGAGTAAAGGGATAAAGTATGGAGTGACCGGAAGTGAGGTACTGAGCCGCCGCCAGCTACACCAGCTCCTAACTATTCTATACATTTTTGTTTGGTATATTTTAGAAGTCCTTCTAAATGTCTAATAAAGAGAACCTCGTTCTGACGGCCGAACATAAGTCTAATCCTATCCTCTGTGTCGGCGTTATCACGCCAACTCTTTTTCGAAAAACTCAGAGGGATTTTCTTCACTCTTGGAATAAAATGAGCCACTCTAAAATTGCCTAAGTGAACATGTTATAAATGAGCTAACGTAATATCAAATAACTAGTAGTTTAATGTACACCATGCTTTATATTTACTTATTGATTTAGCTATCAATATATCTATTCATTCACTTAAAAAATACGCAGCAGAAGTCTTCAAAAGTCTTCCTAAATTCAATACGACGACGAAAAAATCACACTGTTGGCTGATTACGTCATATTTCTGTTTAAAAACACACCTGTCCCACTTGCCCTCTCCTGCAACCCCGGCACGCATACGCCTGCAGCACACATGCGACCACACACACGCATATACAAAGCACATGCGCGCACCTTTTTAAACATATTCATACGCAACCCGGTTTACCTAAACTATGAGAGAATTAACACATCGGGTACCACTACTGTTAATGACAGTACCTGTATTTATATTTATATATATATATTAATTATTTTTCGAATCAGGAGAACTTAATTTGATTGAATTCCACTTTTTATATTCGAATCATAGAGTTTTCAAACCACAACTTGCTCGGGATATACCGTATCAGAGACGTATATATTACAATATATACGTTTCTGACCGTATGTAAATATATTATGAAAGTCATATCTAACACAAGTCACAGTCAACAATAATTACCCAATGGCCAAGGTAATTTGAGAAACATAGGACACGAAATTTTTACACAGCCTGAAATTACTAAAGCAGATGTGAAATCAGTTGCTCTGTCAGGGTACATACATTTTTTTTTATTATTTCGAATTCTAGTTAAAACAGGGGTCGTTACAGTGACTGAAAATTTTGTAGATTTAGTTGAACTTGTTTCATATATTCAAATAATCAGAATAAAATCAGTATGAGAATTCAATTTTTAGAATACATAAAGATGCATGCATCAATTAGTACACGACGCTGCTCAAATATTCGAGTATTAGTCATTGCTAAACTCCCGCCCGATTATTTATTTATCTAATTATCTAAGAAAAACAGTCCAGGGTCTTTGATAAATAAATAAATCTACCACATTTGATATAGCGCCCTATCTAGCTAGACTAAGCCACTATAAAGCACTTTACAGTACATAGATCTGCAATTTTATACAATCAATGCAATTAGCATATACATTAATCAATTAAAATATTGAGGAATTCGCAGGAGCTTTCCTTACTTAGTCATATGCCACCTTGTTGGTATCTCCCTATGTGTGTGATTGTAAGCCTTTGTTTTTTGTTTTCACAATTATAACCATTACTATTATCCATTTGTTGTAAAGCGCTTTAGAGTAATTTTACAAATTATATAGGGCGCTATATAAATGTTGTATATTATATATTATGTGTATGCCTGCATGTGTACTGGAGATGTATTATATGTTCTATATCTGAATTCCTTATAGAGATTAAATATTCATTCATTTAAGAATAAATTCAAAATTCTAATTCATTTGAGATGTAACACAACGTTTGATCGGTCAATCAAATAATTTGCGACAGTCTAACCACATTATATCCCCCGCAAATTTCTCATTTGCATATAAGCCCGATTGTTAATAACGTCAATGACCCCGACTAACCCTGACACGACATGAAATTGTATGTTCCTCCTGATGTCACGAATCCACGGCAGAGTGACCCAGAATTTGAAAAATACACTCAAAACTATCTTAAAATCGTCGGAGTTTTTTGGTGGTTGTAGCTTATATGAATTAGAATAACCCTACTTTATTTTGAATTTTGAGTCGCCAGTAAAAACTCAATTTCGGATATTATAATCACGATATACCGCCGCAAATTTCAAAATACAGTATGGTTTTCCCCTAAATATATACATTAAATTGCATACAGACCTACTTATACAAGGTACAACACACAAGACACTTTATTTAAAGTCGCATACATGTAAACAAAGAACATTAGTTCTTCATATCTATTATTGCGACAAACATATATAAAATAACAATAACACGTTGTATCACAAGTAAAAGGATATCATCACATATACATTATTATCAAAGGGGTTTAAATATAAATAACAATAATGATAACTATCACAGAAAAAAAAGAAAGTATCATATCCCAGTCATCTAAGTGATTGGGAGTCCCCGGGACATGACACTTGTGGTACAATGATTATATAGTGTTAATATGAAAAGCAAAAATGTGATCACAGATAAGTAGTATTTAGAATTAGTTTATAAAAATAAGAATAATATGCTGCAAAAATATAGAGTAGGAATTCTGAGGTCCACATCATTGTCTAAATAAGGTGGATTCACATCCAATGTACGTCCATGTTTCAACTGCTATATACGTCAAGGCGTGTTTTCTACGAATATTCAAATCAGTGCATGTCATGCTTTGTCGGTAATTCTAATTCGATACTCTTTTCATCACGCAATTTGTCGAAACATCTGTCAGCTCTAACCGTATAGCTGATGTTTGGGGGAATACCCATTTTTTCAGCTTTTGCTTTATCAAAGGATAACGATTGTATGGACACTATCTGAACTGTTTCTTTTTCCATATCTTCCAAATCAGGGAAGAATACGACGGATCCACTGTCGCCCACTGCAGCGAATACTTTGTTTTCATTTCCTTCAATAAAGTATCCTTCTTCTGGTCTGCCTAGAGGCATAGTATCTTCAGAATTGCAAACTCGGAAATCGTGACTTCGGATATAACCCTCTGTTAGTCCAGTTTTAGCACCTCTTTTGTACACAATATCATGTAGTTTCATTTCTTGTTTCATTGGTATGCAGTTGCAAAGTCTACCGTTTTCGTCGCTGAAATTAAATGAATATTTGTCTGATTCTGATATCTTGATTACAGCGACGTCGGTAGGCTTCTGCAGACTGGCGATGCATTTTCCTAAATCTTTTTCGGTTTTGTTTTGTGCATCTATATAACCAACAGCAATATTGCCTTCTTTGAAGTAATGTCCGCTCGTCAATGCCACCACGGTCTTCTGCTCATCCTCGGGCTCTCGTCTGTCTTTCGCACGTGTAATCATTCCAAGCGTCCCCTCCTCTCCTGTTGTTTTATTTTTCAATTTGCCGTCCTGTTTTATTGAAGTCGGCCTGAGAAATGATCTGGAGGTAAATTCCATTCTTGGCGAAATGTCAAATTGATCACAGACCCTTTTCACCTCTTCTTGCAGTTTCCGTCGACGTTTTTGCCCCAAAATATTCTCGTCAAGAAATACCACCAGACCGCTTGGGAAAAAAACCAAAAGCCAAAACTCCATCTGTAGCCAGCCTATATGTGATAAATCATAATATTCATCACAATTAATATTTTATATTGAATACGTCAGATATGCTAATTTATATATCATTGTATAATTTCAAAAAATCCGTTATGTCAATTATATATTTATAATTTTGTACGTCATCAAAGTGAATCAACCAAAAACAAATGTAGTAAGCATTAACAGCGAGGCAAACTGAACAGTGTATATATATCTTTCAAATAAGGTGAAGCAGTACTCGTAAATTTCGATCAGTTGTGAATAGAATACGAATAAAAAGACTCACTTATTTAGTTCCATAGAAACTTTGTCGGGAATTCTGTCAGTTTCGAGTGATCTCGATGGCCTTGACGTGTCTTTTCTGTTCAGCAAAGCGTGTGCAGCCTGTGTAGCCTGTTCAACCAATTCGTCAGGATCGTCCGCAGTAGATTTTGCGTCAGTCAGTTTCTTTAATCTCTCTGCAATGTTTCCTGCATACGAAAACAATGGATCGCCAAGGAGATATGTGAGTCTTTTTCTAATGTTTTGTTCAGTCATGTCAGATTCGATCTCTCTGTCATCTTTTTGACGTGGAGCTGTTTTTGATGTTAGCGAAGATACGCGAAGAATAGCTTCTGCCTGTAACGATCATAATCAACAGCATTTACTTATATAGTTGTTAATACAGCCGGTGCACACAAAATATAAAACTAACAGTTACTTATGTAATAATTGTCATTGTAAAACAATCACGAACTCTCTGCCTGCCGGTTTAGTGTGTATTTTAGCTTTGAGTTTGACCCTAGTGAGCACACGATAACTAGATACGATATTGAACGTTTGGCCACAGTAGAAATAGAAAACACCTCATCAAAATCGTAATTCACACGCGTTGTGTCCATGTCGTACAGAATAAGAAAATCTTCTAACAGTTCGAAACAATAAAACCGAAACACAATACAACTTCACACCCCGTAAATCCATAATTCAATGAACACCGACAACGTAATTTACCTTGACATCTAAATGTACGTCAGAGTGTTCTAACACTAAACAACAAGAACTGCCCTTGGCTTCATGTATCGTGTTTGAGACATGAGATTTCTCTGAAATGAAAATTAAAAAAGCAAAATAAGTTACTGCTGAAATGGATTTTGTTTAAAATTATTTAGAACAGTGTCCGTCATCATTCCGTAAGCCCTTGTCCGTCGGCGTCTACTTATACCGTTTATAACAACTCCTGAACAACTTAATAGTTTATCCTTATTTAACAAGAAGTATAACTTTATAAAGGGGACTTATTATTGGCATAACTAATGATCCACATGATTAATTTGTTCCCGTTAATAAACGCTACCGTTTCATTTGTGTACGACTCTAATATTACAAGACCTTGGCTAACACCGAATACAGTATATTTCAATAGTGTACTAAATTTACATAAGTTAACTTCATCTAAACTCTAATGCATATATTTGTCAGTGTTTGGGTTACTGTCTATTATACTTCGCAAACCGAGTGAACATTAAAGAGCTTGGCAATGTTTGGTGTTGCATCAACATCATTACGCTATCTCGGCCTCTCCCACCCAGTTAATCAACATGCGCAATAAATGTTCCGATGGGATCCGTTCCTGACAACCTTATGACAATGTAAACAACCAAAGAAACGTAGTGTTGTATAAGCGAAGGGTGTACCCCATTTCGTTTATAATTACATATTATCAAGGTTTGTCGTGAGCTAAAATCGAGAGAAACACCGCAGGTGGCCTCAAGATGTTATCCAAGTGTGAGCGATGAGATCAATCTGTTTATCATTCATATATTACCACAGTATATATGTCTCCATTTATGTAAAGTCTACCAAATACCAAATCTTCCAAATGACTTTTAGGCTCAATGATCATTAAAATCCTCGGTCTGTGACAAACGTAAACAAATAGGAGATTCGCCTGGAGGAATACATGTATAGATGATGTTATCTTAAACTACGTAGAAAGATATGTCTAACACATTAAAATCATCACTTCTTAAGTTCATGTATTCAACTTATATAGGCCTAGCCTGCTGTTTAATCCTATGGTTTACTCAATAGCATATGATGAAATGAAATCAAGTACATGTATTATCATACTGACGACCCATAATAGTGACTTTATCATACTAATGCGGTAGGTGCTATAAAGCAGTATATAGATGATAAAGAGTTAAACCAGACAAGAATTCCACGGGAGTGGCTGTGTCGCCCGCTCAACGCTTTTAAAAAGAAAAGTGTTTTGACTTGAGTTATCGCGTAAACAGATATGCCAAAACGCGAAAAGTTGAAACTCGACTGAAAAACCCGTAAGATATGTTCAACATTATTGCTTCTAGCATTTCCGTACAAAATTTGAACGGAATGGATTAAAAAATAAAAAAAGTTCTTGCATTTACTACACAATTCCCTTATTTGGCAATAAAAGGTGCATAAACCAACCAAAAATGCACGTAAATTTCTGAAATGGGAACGTGTCCGAGCTATATTGGTATGCAATAATATATGTACCTTGTTTGAGTTCAATCACCCCAAGGAAACTCAAGTTATCGCACGGAAACCTTGTTTCGGATGGCGCAACCGACGACGCCGACGCCGACAAAGTGATACCTATATGTCGCCTCGCGTTTCAGACGATACAAAAAGGGGCAATCTTGGGAGGAGGCCAAACAATTGAAATGGAAGAGGCCAGAAAATGGAAATGGTAAGAATGAGATAGATATGTTTCTGCCTCTGAACTTTATTCCAGTAGTGGAATGGAGTACTTTGCAATCTTTTCAATGCATAACATTGACCGGGTCATGCTTTCTAGATCACAGATGCAAATACCCTTAAAATTCAAAATGGCAATATCTCAAAAGGTCCTGAGGTTTAGAGCTACATGTTTGAGTATTTCATGAAATCTTGTCATGCGACTTTTTTCTAATGTATTATGATGAGGAATTGTGTCAACTTTTTAAGATAACTTCAGACAAGGTTTCCCATAGGTTACTTCGGGTGAAAATGTTGAAGAGAAAGGCATTTGGTCAGTACACTGCAGCAACTTAGTCCTTTATACTATGAATTACCCTGGCCTTATTGGTATTTAATTATGTTCAAAAATGTAAAACACTCTTGCTAAATAACCGATAATCCTGGGTCCAAGGTATCGTTCCCTTTGGCATGTATTTAAAAAAATTGTCGAAAATTATCAAGATATTTCGCTTGTAGCATGCTATTTTAAGTTCATCAACATCCGTTCATTGAGACTCGAAACCTTATATTTCTTATGTGACCTCCAAATGTGGTCATTATAATTTATTTGAAACTTGAGATGAAGAATCCTTTGGAACAGAGCCTCAGATAAAGCTTTAATTACGTGTAAGTTCTACTGGGACGTTGGATTCCGTGATAAAGATGAATCCGCCAACAAATTACTTCTTTTATAAATCAATGACAACTCATCTATAACACGTTTAATTTTTCGACTCGATAATTCTGCGGGTGTCTATGTCATACGGTTAAAGGGATAAAAGACCAGTCATGGTCAGATGTCAAACCCAAATCATACAGAAAAATCAGGGAATCTGATTGTTTTTTGTCATATGACGAAACTGGAGTCGTGAGAAAACATGACCATGCTCCTGCTAAAACCACCGTTCCAAAATTCTGTAAAAATCAAAGACTTTAAAATACCACCAGCAGATATGTGATAGATGTATTTTCATTACTTTTTAAAGTATATTAAAAGGACTGAAATGTATTATTTTTATAACAGTATGTATTACAGAGCAGTCGAGTATTTTCTCACATGTGCGCTATCGAGTAACAATGAACAAATTTCAATGGAACGCTGTTGCAAAATAAATGTTCCAAAGATGAATTCGAATCTTCAATTCCTTAAGAGTAGTTTTTAGTTTTTCAACGTGATTTTGTAAATATTAAGGTAAACGATACACGCCCTTTTGTTCACTTGGAACCTAAAAAAATGACTAAGTTGACCAGATGAGTTATCAGCCCCCCAGCCTAATGTTGATAGACAACAGTATTCTTTATGTTTTATTGATATTAAAATTGTAGTTGTCTGCTGAAATGGATTTCGTTTAGAAAACACTTCTAATGACCTTGTCAAAACAAATATGTAGTAATAATATATCAAGTATGAATCTTTGAATTGTGTTTACGAACATGCCTGCGTATCAATAACAGAAATATTTGGTTGATTAAGATAACAAAATATATTACCTGTGATATCTGTGAAGGTGATACTGCCCATGTTTTGTTTTCTAACGATGAGTGGAAGATCTTCACTGATTTTACCGTTTGTCACCACAGTAAACAGTAAATCTTTTGACCGTGCTATATTCGGTATTGCCACATCATGTTTTTTTCCAAAGAGGAGGGGTTTCAACTTTTGATATTTGGTAGCAATATCGCTTAACAGACTGCAATGGTAGTCTAGTAGAGGAAAACACTCTCGACCGCATTTCATCTGATAAACTTGCACTCCATCATCTGTAATTATATGATAGATATCCAATTAATGAAATGAAATATATCTTTAAGAATATTCATATAACAATATCGTAACTTATAATTACAATTGAAAGTTCCAAGTAAAATCTATAATAGTAATTTATTTAATCTTATAACATTAACATCTTTATTTCCTTTTCTCTGCAATATTTCAATTGAAAGAAACGGTTACCACATGTATTTGCTGAACTCGTGTTGTGTAGAGGTCACATTTACACGTTTTGTCAGTTGCACTAAACACATACGTAATGTATGCCTATAGCAATGACATGTCCTTTTACCTTTGTTTAGATTATCGTTTATGTCATTGGCATTCCCGCCATATTATATAATTGATCTGAATAGTGTGAACTCCTCGGATCTCCTTTTTTAGCTTAAAAAAGTATATTCCTACACTAAACACTATATGTACCATTGATGTCTGAGCATTATATCCAACTATCGCGGACAAGGAGCCTAAAAAGGTTCTTTAAATGACATAACTGATGTCAAGAACTATTTTTGTTATTTTATATTATATGATGTTATTTATTTATTATAAACAAATGAGTTAATAATAACTATTATGATACTAAATTGTGAAACATTACTCAACATCAGCAACTTTTGTTTCCTTTGTTATGAACTTTCGTACATAATAATTGCTCGATGCTATATTTTATGTAAACAAATTATGAAATCTATTTTAATAATGAATGAGGCATGCACAAGAAAATAGTCTCATAGCATATAAGTTACGCGATAGAGACATTTAATTTTGGCAAAACCCCTCATAAAATACACTTATACCAGCAATGCACTTGTGCTGTCTGATATGTCAGTTTACCATACATGTATATGCTTTTATTGCATGTATTTAGTATTTGCAATTTCTCTTAATATCTTGTTTTTCTGCAAAACATTACTCATCATAATATCGCAAAACAAGTTTCTGAAATACATGTAGAGCAGTGAAATGATTTGGGCCCAGGTATGAATTACATTAAGTAATTTAGATATTAATAATGTTGTGATGGAGTTAAAGCTATAACGACTTCAAATATTATCAAAAAAAAATCTCACCGATTTTTTTCTTTGTACTGATCTTGTGTTGATATTCTCTGCTAGAAGCAGCATCTTGTGTAAAAACGAATGGCATACACAAATAAATATTAGGTTCATAGCATATACTCAGCACAAATGAAAGGTAAACGCTACTTTCAGCTTGGATAAATTTATCATTTTTGTTTCAATTATATCCAATTTGGTATCAATATCTCCTTAAAGTTTTGGTTTATTATTTCTCACCAATCATTAGAATATGCCGTGCTGAATTGATTTTATTTAACGTTAGGCAGAATGAATTGGGGTTCTTACGTCATTTGAACGGTACCGAGTATGATCATCGTTTGTGTTAAAAACAGCGTTGCAGCGCCGTCGCATGCTACTTACTAACCAATAGATAATGTAAACGGGATTGTTGTCCTACTCATCGGTTAACGCTGGGGCCAACTCGCCCTTAATTTAACCGTTAACTCTCCTTATTGGCGATATAAAATTATTTTGTTGAAAACACTTGTGGAGGTTCATGACATCATGGTATCACAAACCTAGCTTATAAAAAAACCTAAGGAATGAAATTTTTAGCTCTTGATTATTTCAGAGAGTAGTTCAGATATTAATAATGGCGTGAAGTAAGGAAGCTAAGGTTTTAACGAATTCAATGCCATAAAAGAAATAACTCACCAACTGTAGCTTTCCTTTTCCTTGGTTTGATTTTTGGAACAGAATCACTGCCAGATACTTCCTGTTCTGTGAGTAGTTACATATATACTTTGTGAATACAAGAATGAGGAATGTACAAGAGATCATATTCTCCAGGAGATATGTAAGATATCAATTACATGTATGTATGTTATTGTCGGATATTTACCTACAATTGTTCTTTCTTTGTAAATTACGTTTTTTCCCAAATTATTATTCCAAATTAATGTTCATGCTTCTCCGCACAATCTTGAACCCAATAACAATGGCTTACAAGAAGACAGACTAATGATGTTACGTAGCCATAGCTTAATATGGCACTTAACTATTTAATACCCATTCTTGTTTCAAATTCGTCTACATTGTTGCTGGATAACAACGAATGAGTTCCGGCAAAAAGAGTTCTGGCTACTGGGTAGTACAATCACATTGCATTGTGAAATAAAGTACCTGGTATTTCATTACCCGAAAACTAGTACAACTAATAGTATCTTATAAAATTCAGATGATGAATGGGTCTTTTCAGATATTAACAATACTATTGATCTATATTAAAATATATTTCGGATCAAATCCTTTGAGTGTTATTATATAGGTTACACCAGATAAACACAAATACAAGAGTCTGGTGATGTCAACTTGGAATGGTGCACATAGAGAACCCATAGGAGTGTTCCCCGTAACGATCACACGTACTGTAAAACAAAACTACTAAGACAAGGCCATGCACTGACTCCTCAGAATCTACGGACACTGTACTAGACCATTGCGAGTAGATTCTTCCTCGGTTTCCCAGAGATCGCGCTTAATAACGTTCTCTGTACACGAGCTGACGAATATATTAAAGGGAGTTTAAATCGTTATTTGTTACCGTTACAGTGAATAAATAATGCTCTAATGCTATACATATTGTAGTTACTCACTGTAAATGACAGATAGAACTTACCAAGGTCTTCTTCACTACCGCCGGAATGTGATACACGACGTTCGATGCCAGCTGATTTGCCACTTTTTGTCAACTTATTTCTTTCTTTAAGTACCAGTGCTAAAACAATTAATGTCATTATTAATAGTATGGTTTCATGCCATGATTAATATACAATTTCACTTTGTTTATATACATATTCTTGGTTATAGTGGTGAACTCCTGTGTTGACAGTGTTCCATGTTTCCCTTGTATGATTTATCACTTAGGTAGCAGTTTTATAATCATTATTATATCATCGAGATAATTTCTATGAAAATTATTACTCAGTATTGACATTAAATGTAGTGCCGAGTGTACCAAACACATGATTTAGGCATATTTCTACTATTTTACAATGGAGTATCAGATGATGATATGCTGATATGTATGGTAATCGATATAATACCAGATTTACGACACATGTTGCAAATTTAAAAAAAAAAGATGTATGGAGAGCATTAAAACCTTTTTTGTTTTGACGGTAGATACTTTTCTCCCTATCACAATGTCAATTCAATGAATTCATGTTTCTTGTATTACACTGAAATAACATTACGTTTCAGAACGTCACCCAATATGGTACACGTTGAACTGAAACATTCTATTCACAAACTCCCTACTCAGGATTAAGAAGCAACTGCGGTCTCTGAAATTTGAGTCACCAGAAGCAGTTTTGTGCAGGAATTCTGCCTTGTCATCTTGTCAATAAACTGGCACTACCGTTCTCTAAATGAAGTGAGCTTGCGCTAAGAATTAAAATAAAGGAAAACATAACGATTTTCAGTCGGCAGAAATCTGCCTTTGTTTTAAACTATCAGCTATAAATCAGGTGAACTATTTGACTACAGTTGTCGACGAAAGTTTGAACCAAGTCTCACATGAGTAGTCTCGCTAAGTGGGAGAAAAAATAACTACCTTCATAAGTGAAAGGAATGTGGAATACATATAAAAGATCGGATTAAGAGAATCATATCTGTACATTATTTTTATCGTACTTTTATGACGTATATTGCCTGTAACCAAGAACGAAATATGTCAATCAACCACACTTTCACATGACCATGCCATTTCGCTTAGCTAAACATTTATCACTGTAGAAAAAAAGCAATTCTTATAGAAATCTCGCACATAATATATTTACCAACTACTTATTTATCAATGGCATTATGTAACTGGATAGATAAACAAGAGGCCCAGAGGGCCTGTATCGCTCACCTGGATGCCAAAGCAATCATGGCAAAATATTCTCCGAATGAGATCATGGGAATATGCCAGACCCCAAGGCCAATCCTTGTAGCATATCTGTACATGTATTAGATTCTTCATGCCCAGCATTTGTATATATAGTTTTGGGGAGGGGATCTCAACCATTTCAAAGTTATGACCCAGTGGTTAAGTCTGCAAGGGTGGGGCAGACCCTGGAGTCAATTCTAATATCATGACTGCATTCGTCTTTTTATGCCCAACAATTTTATATGTAGATTTTGGGTGGGGATCTAAACCATTTCGAAGTTATGACCCAGGGGTTAAGTCTCCAAGGGTTGGGGCAGTACCCAAGGCCATCCTGGAAGCATATGTGCAATCATCTCTTTATACTCAGCAATTGTATATACCGTTATAGGGTGGGGCTCTCAACTGTTTCCACGCTGTGACTAACAAACTAGGTCCCTAGGGGTTCGGTCAGACCCCAGGGTCTATTCTGATATCATGACTGCATTCGTCTTTTTATGCCCAGCATTTATATATATAGTTTTGGGGTGGGGATCTCAACAGTTTTAAAGTTATGGCCCAGGGACTATGTCTCCAAGGGTGATGCCAGACCCTATAGCCATCCTGGAAGCAAATGTGCATTCTTCTCTTTATACTCAACCATTTCCAAGTAATACACTTTTTTTGGCCCATCCCTTAGCCCGGGGGGTCAGCCCCACCATTTGTATAATTTTGAATCCCTGCCTCCCATGAATGCTTCCGACCAAATATGATTGATATTCATGGGAAAGTTCTACAGTAGAAGTCGTTTATAGCAATATAGCCAAATTGCCCCCTTTTTGGCCCTGCCCTCAGCCCCCTGGGGGCTCAGCCCCACCATTTGTATGAATCCCCACCACCTAGGGCTGCTTCCAGTCAAATATGGTTGATATCCACCTCTAAGTTCCAAAGAAGAAGTCGCTTATAGCAATATTGCAAAATTGACCCCTTTTTGCCCCGCCTCTCAGCCCCCTGGGGGGTTAGCTCCATCATTTGTACAATTTTGAATCCCTGACACCTAGGGATGCTTCCAATTAAATATGGTTGACATCGACTTCTTATTTCCAGAGAAGAAGTCGCTTAAAGCAATATAGCCAAATTGACTCCTTTTGGCCGCGCCCCTCAGCCCCCTGGGGGGTCAGCCCATCCATTTGTACAATTTTGAATCCCCACCACCTAGGCATGCTGTCAGTCAAATATGGTTGATATCCATGTCATAGTTCTACAGAAGAAGTCGTTTGTAGCAATATAGCCAAATTGCCCCCTTTTTGCCCCGCCCCTCAGCCCCCTGGGGGGTCAGCCCCATCATTTGTACAATTTTGAATCCCCACCACCTAGGCATGCTGTCAGTCAAATATGGTTGATATCCATGTCATAGTTCTACAGAAGAAGTCGTTTGTAGCAATATAGCCAAATTGCCCCCTTTTTGCCCCGCCTCTCAGCCCCTTGGCGGGGCAGCTCCATCATTTGTACAATTTTGAATCCCTGACACCTAGGGATGCTTCCAATTAAATATGGTTGACATCAACTTCTTATTTCCAGGGAAGAAATCGCTTAAAGCAATATAGCCAAATTGACTCCTTTTTGCCCCGCCTCTCAGCCCCTTGGCGGGTCAGCTCCATCATTTGTACAATTTTGAATCCCTGACACCTAGGGATGCTTCCAATTAAATATGGTTGACATCAACTTCTTATTTCCAGGGAAGAAATCGCTTAAAGCAATATAGCCAAATTGACTCCTTTTGGCCCCGCCCCTCAGCCCCCTATGGGGTCAGCCCAACAATTTGTACAATTTTAAATCCCCATCACCTAGGAATGATTCCAGTCAAATATGGTTGATATCCATGGCACAGTTCTACAGAAGAAGTCGTTTGTAGCAATATAGCCAAATTGCCCCCTTTTTGCCCCGCCCCTCAGCCCCCTGGGGGGTCAGCCCAGTCATTTGTACAATTTTGAATCCCCACCACCTAGGGATGCTTCCAGTCAAATATAGTTGATATCCCCCTCTTAGTTCCAGAGAAGAAGTCGCTTAAAGCAATATAGCCAAATTGCCCCCTTTTTGCCCCGCCCCTCAGCCCCCTTGGGGGTCAGTTCCATCATTTGTACAATTTCGAATCCCTGACACCTAGGGATGCTTCCAATTAAATATGGTTGACATCGACTTCTTATTTCCAGTGAAGAAGTCGCTTAAAGCAATTTCAAATTGACTCCTTTTGGACCCGCCCCTCAGCCCCCTGGGGGGTCAGCCCAGTCATTTGTACAATTTTGAATCCCCACCACCTAGGGATGCCTCCAGTCAAATATCATTGATATCCATGGCATAGTTCTACAGAAGAAGTCGTTTGTAGCAATATAGCCAAATTGACCCCTTTTTGCCCCGCCCCTCAGCCCCCTGGGGGGTCAGCCCCATCATTTGTACAATTTTGAATCCCCACCACCTAGGGATGCTTCCAGTCAAATATGGTTGATATCCACTTCTTAGTTCCAGAGAAGAAGTCGCTTAAAGCAATATAGTCAAATTGACCCCTTTTGGCCCCGCCCCTCAGCCCCCTTGGGGGTCAGCCCCACCATTTGTACAATTTTGAATCCCCACTACCTAGGGATGCTTCCAGTCAAATTTAGTTCAATTCCAGTCAGTTGAATTCCAATCAGTTAAGAAGAAGAAGTCGTTTAAAAAAATTGTTGACGGACGGACGGACGGATGGACGACGAACGCTACGGTATGGTATAAGCTTTTTTCTTCTAATTGACTGTGTATATCCTGAAGGTCAGATGAAAACATACGCATTATATTGTATGTATATACCTGTAATTGTTCTTCATAAGTATTTATTTTTTTATTATGATCTAAAATGAATTTTCATGCTTCTTCCAACACTTATAATTACACTATTTAACAATAATGGTCAAAAATACATCGAGGATAGAATAATGACGTCAGGCTACCATAGCTCAATATGGTACTATAATGTTCAGAATCCAGGTAACAGCCCATCAGTTTCAGAAAAATATGTTCTGGCTACAGGGTAATCCAACATCTTGTGTTGCAACATTGGATGTGAAATAAAGGACATTGTATTACATTGCCTAACAACTAGGTGTATTATTACAGCAATATCCATCAGGTATCTAATAAATTACTGATGGCATCTTACAATATTATAGGGAACATTTAATGATGTATCGGTCATATCTTATATAGGAAAGATAATTGAATTATTTTGAATTATATTTGTCCAACAAACGATTTTACTTATAAAACAACTAATTGTAAATATTTGACTTTAAGATGGCTCCAACATTCGTAATTCTCATTTTTTTCATGTCGTATCTTCGTGTTGTCTTTGCCGTAATGTTTATCGGCCATTTTTATGTGCGTAGTGTAATTATATAAGTAGCAATGAGTCAGCACAAATGCGCGGGGGTGGCGAAGTCTCAACATTACTTTTTCCGGAAGTAACTGGGAAATGTACACGTAGGCAACCTGAGGGAAATGTTTCTAATAATGATCAAAATAGAGCTCCGAAAAAAGGAAAGACCTAGACTTATTGGGAGCGAGCATAGATCCAGAGTGGCTTCGAGAACGTCGTATGTGAAGTATAAGTGGGCAGTTTGGCTCTGGGTATTTGCTTTTAAGTACATTTTAATTTATGTATGCACAAAATACTGCCATTTGTGCTGTCGAACACACAATCTTACTTTCTTACATTTAAGAAGCAATAACTGTTAATCATCAATAATAAGATGTGAAAAAATCATGATCACAGAGAACATACATGAGCATTAACTCACCAGTTACAGCTTTCTTTTTCCTTTTCTTCTTAGATCCTTTTTGATCTGTAAGACAACTTTTATAGTCAAATGAATTGAATAACAGACAAGCCTATATAAACTCTTTCCGTGAGTGGCTCTAAATTTGATCGAACATATATATATACAATGTAGTTACAATAATGATTACTTAATTTAAGGATACTCTGAAATGAAAAATGATATACTAATTAAAGGATCAGGGGAGATAATTCCAACATTTTATCGTAAATATATACGAGGTCGAAACACATGCATTTGTAAGTTTTTGCTATCTATATGTTGAGTACATAAAATTGTAAATTAAACATCTTAATGAGTACCTGTATACTGAATGATGTGTCAGATGTCCTTTCATCAATATTATGAGGAATGGTTGAACAAGATGTATTTATTATATACCTGCTTTATAAGATTTTATATATATTATAAAGACTGTGTCAAATATACAATTTTGAAATTTCAAGTTACATTGATGTACACATCTAAGATGATCCGATATGTCAAAACTATACAAACGTTAAATGTATAATGTGCTTAACCAATATGTGTATGTACAGATTACCTTACGATTTATAAATACGGGTATACAAATTGATCAAGATTGCAACTGCTATGTATACGAAATTGAAAGTTACTGGAGTATGTGAGGTGTGAATTGGCATTGTGCTGTAGAGGACAAGGCGGAAGTATGATATAGTATGTTGAATATGTATAATCAAACCGTTTAGTGCCTATCAATATGTTTATTATTATGTGTTAAATTTCTTGATGGTTTGCCTGCTGCATGGTAGAATTATCTCACCTATACCTTAAGTCGCTGCAATGTAACTTGATAATACAAGAACTAGCATATTTGCGCATAATTATGGTTAGTGATATTTGCATACAACTGATCCAGTGTTGTGTTTCGACTTCATATATACTAGGGGGAGGCAGGATGGTAGGTAAATATGTATTACGTACATCATGCTAACACCTATTCAGCTGACTAGCATATTTGCATATGGATATTGGAGTAAAGACACATAGAACAATATGACAAAGTATGGTTTCATTCAATTTAACATTATTTAATGATGAATGTCATATTCCTTTATTGTGAAGAGATTTGACATGCACTAGGCTAGTAAGACTTTTCATAAAAAAAATATAAAAAATTCAGAAATATGACGATGCCGGACTCTAAACGGAAACAAACCAGGGATTGTGTGTAACATACATTTGTATCTATATTAAGAAAACGAAACTAGGCCTACAGTCATCCACATCCTGTTACGGAGAGGATTATTGCCGGCAGCTGATTGACCTAAATCAATTACACATTGAATAAAAAACAATTTATTTTTGGTATAAATTGTGCAGACGAACCAGATGCTGAAGTAGACAATTTAATAAACTTGGTAATTAAATATTATATCCATGAAACAAAATGTTTTAAAAATACATTATCTTTATAAACACTTCTCAATGAAATTAAGGAAACATACAAAGTACAAAAACACATTTCAAGCAGTAGATATGAGTCAGAAAGGTTTCTATGATATTGGAGATAATGGTCCCCACTGATAGAGACACCCTGACAATATGCCATATTATATGAACAATACCGGTGAACTTATTTATTCATAATTATTCCTTGTTCAAACTCAAATATCTACAGAGCCCATTTCATCGATATAATTGGTATACAATGACCTACTTAACAGTATTTCTTCGATATAGCACAACCGGAGCATAAACATTTTTTTGTGCATACTTTATACTTATTTATGTTGGTGTTGTCTTATGTTTTACCAATGCATGTTTGTAAGCTTATTTGTTTGAAGTATTTATGTTAAATGTTTTGTCTATGTTTGTATATATGTTATTGTATGTACCAATGTATCAATGTACGTAAGTGTTCGTCCTTTAAGTTAGGTTCAAATGTTTTAGCATATCTATCTAATTTATAAAATATGATGACAGAAAGTGAAAGAAAGACGAATGTTGAATGAAAGCCCTCATGTGAGAGGACAAAACATTATAAAGGGGGATGATCCCAGGGCTACTCAACCCTGGCATCCTCCTAAAACACTTGCTGAGGAAGTAAAATATTTGAACAATTTTTTGGGGTTTTTTTCATTGAAAAAAACTGTTGCACTTTTTTTAAAAATAAGCAAGTTGGAATTGAAGATATTTTTTGAAACCGTCGAAACGCGGTTCACGTCTACCTTTGTCAGCTGATTTGCCAGTTTTTGTCAATCTTTTCCGGGTTTTGGGTCTCCCAGTGCCTAAAAAATCAATCATATGAATAATAAACATCTCAGGTTGTATCTAGAAAATAGAAAATAACTTACCATCATCAATTTGATTATATACATGTTATCAACGTGAAAAAGTAATGACCGAATAATTAACTGTTAATTTTCTCGGGGCGATTAAGAAGCCGACAGTGTCTTGCGGTAAGTTTCCGGTGGCCATTACGTCGATTAAGTTTAAATATATACGTGTTAAGATTGAATTGCTCATGACTTATGCAGAAATGCATTTTCTGAACCCTGGGTCACCAGTAGCTCTTATGCGAGATAGAGTTCTACATAGTTATTATTTTAATCATGCACAATACAATGACACTTTTTCTCTGATTAAAGTGCACTTGTATTCCAGAAAAAGATTGAAGCAAACAATATTGATTTTAATCAGCAGTTATCTGCTTTTCTCATTACCCGATTATCTACGAACGTTTGAACAACGTCACACCTTTGTGGTTTTACCTTGGACAGGAGTATTTTGCACACGATGAGTGGGAGAATGAACAATGTATTTCATTGCGGAAAGGAGGTTGGGAGTATATAAATCGACGTACGTGGGAGTTGTTAGTAGATTAGGACTTTTCAATATTGCATGGCTGGTACATGTAGATTTCAGTAAGAAGGGCGTGAATCGATAAGAATTATGATTTAATGTTAAGTACATTATGTGTCAAAACGTTTACCAAGTCAGAAAGGCAATTGTGTTAATTCTTAATGTTAAGTGATTGCTTTATCTCGTGTTTTGTCTGTCATCAAGAAAAAAGATACGTCAACCAACCACAATCTTATAATCACCATTCTATTTTTATTGGCAGCTCAATTTTTGTCCAGAATGAAACCATTCTCATTATGAAAAAGCAATCCAGCTACTTATCAATTGTAGCATCATGAAGCTAAATATCAATATATATATATATAGATGCAGTGATGTCAACATAGTTTCTATTGTTTTGACAATAATCATCATATAAGAAAGTGAACATGTTTCGCAACCCTGAACCTTTCTTTGTATTTCGTTTGGTATGAAGAATTAAGCGACACATATAATATTATATTCCAATTTTTGTAAATAATTTGCTAAATACTTACCACAATGAATCCTTTTCAAATTCATGCTGCTTCGGGTTCTGATTCTAGTTAACATTGGGTATACTGAAAATGTACCAATAATATCATGATAGGTAACAGAGAGATACAAGAGGGATATTGGCCTCAACCACCGTACTATCTTAAAAGTATTTTTGCAAGGTGGATATTTTTTCTTCTGTTTTATTTCGTCTTGTAAACAGTAAATGCACCAAGTGGTAACTTTTGATCAAATAAGCTTTGTACTGCTGTGTATGAAGCACTTAATGTGCACTAAAAGGAATTCTATTTGAAATTTGAGAAACATCTGTCTAGTACTTCTATGGACATAGTGGTAGCAAACTGCAAATAACAAATCCCGGAATCCAGGATGGCTGACTCGAGACCATTGTATTTTCAGTCATAAAATAAAAAAAATATATACATTTGAAAAAATCAATATGAAATTTAATAAAAATCTGTCCAGTTCTTCTCAAGAAACAGTGATAACAAAATTGAACTCTCAGAATTAAAGTTAGCTGGCCATCCTGTTTATCCAATCCTCACAAACATCACAATGGATCAGTAGGGACCATGGTAAACATACATGTTAACAAAATAACAAACTTGAACTGTAAAAATCGAGGATGACCGCTTGTCTGCCATCTTGATATTCCGACAATCCCAACATTCGATATGCGTAACTAAACCATTGGGACCCTTCATGTGAAACTTGAAAAGAATCCCTCAAGTACTTTCTTAGAAATAAGGCTAACACGAATTGTTAAAGGATGCATGGAACATCTGACGAAATGACTAGAATTACAAAGAAATAAGAGACTTATTTGAATATTTATATTTAATATAAGCTTATATTTCATGTAAACTACATGTTTATTTGATAAGTGTTAAGTTCTATTTACAACTTCATACAACTCGTCTAAATACCGGGTTCGTTATACCTGCGCTCTGCCTGCTGCCGGCAATAATCCTTTCCGTAACAGGATGTGGATGACTGTAGGCCTAGTTTCGTTTTCTTAATATAGATATGTTACACACAATCCCTGGTTTGTTTCCGTTAAGAGTCTACTGATAGTTTACTGATAGTTAACCAGCAGAGTCAACCACCTTTTTGCCTTAGCTAATCACTGAAAATACAGTCAATAATCAATATGAGCATATGCCACTGACACTTCATTATTAATTATTAAATAACTAACTAAAACATTACTTTAAGAAATCGAAATGGGTTATCTTGCAACGTATTTTTTTATTTGGTTGCGTTGATACTATATAAAAACGTTTTTTATCCTGAAGTTAGTGTTTACTATGGGTTTTTACACGAACGAACTTTTCAATCTACTACTTTTTATAGTTGGTATTCAAACGCAAAATGAAATGATGCATCTGGTCTTAGTTTTTTATCAATAGGATTTTCGTGTGTTTTACATGTCTGTTGCTGTAAAATATTTACAAACGAAATATGAAATGCAACACTTAAAATTGTTTGATTGGTGATTGATTAATACAGATGTGATGGTTTGCTTGATCAATCAAATGAGTGATCAATCGATTGATTTATATATGAAAAGATTCTTTGCTTTTATTGATTGATTAATTGATTAATTTATTGGTAATAAATGAACTGGTTGCTTTATAATTACCCTGATAATTTGTCGCAACAGCAGTATAAACTTCGATTTGTGTTCCTTATTTCGATTAATAGAATTTCAGTGGGAAATCTAATGCGAATATTTTATTTGGCTGTAAACATTTATAAGGCTTCCTTGGTTAGTGTGTTACATTGTAACAGTCGTATTCATTTATTAATGGATTATGTCTACAGACCTTTCAGGCTTTTGATTAATGTATGCGATTGAATTACTTACCTTGTTCCATGATCTCCGTTTATTATGATTTCTGATCAGTTACCCGATATCTGTAATAAAAGCAAACAATCATTACAAAGGGTTGATATCGTTATTTCTGATAGAGACAACGTTAACGATATTAATAAAACCAAGCCATTCGGATTGATGTGTCTCGCCTGTGCCCCGCTTTGACCATCAATGCACATATCAGAGAAACTAACTTCAACGCAAACACTTAATATTGATGGAGATGTTGAAAACGTCAACGGACCATGAAAGGTAGGCCACACCCAGTCTTTGATGCATGGGTTGAGATATACTACCTAAGATGCACCCATGGTCCAGGTTTGGTTGGTGTCGCACTTATTCTTTCAGTGAAACTAACTTAAACGCAAACACTTAATGTTGGGTAGCAGAGTAGAGTAGAAATGGCCTGATCCTAAAAATAAAGGGCATGCCTCCGATAAACTTGGATAGTGGATTCATCCTGCACAATACACCTACATATATATATATATTCAAAATGTAGTTTTTTTATATATATAAATAAAACTGAAGAGCCCTGTGAAGGGTGACAGCAGCTAGTTTTTTAGTCGGTCGTTAATCTTATTTTTTCTATATTTACTTCCTTCACATGGACATTTAATCCCTTTTTATTATATATATATATATATTTATAAACTACATTTTGAATACCTTTTTTTAGAAGAATGAAGTTTTTTTTCAAAAACTGTTTTCCGCAGGTTTGGGACTTGTGAAAACCATGGTTACCACATCAAAAAACGCCAAAAAATGCAAAAAACTATGATTTTTAACCCAAAATTTGACCAACGCAAGTCCCTTTTTTTCTTAAAACCTGTCTTAAATTAAATATCACTTACTCGGTAACTGAAATACTCGCGTTTTAGCATAGGTCGTTCAACTGAATTTTTCACAATATTTACACATGTGCCGAGTACAAAAATAGACAACATGAAAAGCTAGCTTTTGTTGTGTAGACACAGATTTGTTAATGGCCAAAAATGTAGTCTCAAACCAAATTCGATTTTCTTTTTAAAATATGAAGCCCACATAGTCCATTTCATCATGTATATGCCAATTTTAGTGCTGATTTGTTATTTTTAAATGTTGATATATGTTATATTACAGGAGTTATTCAATGTATAAAAATATCACCCATGGCCACCGTGCGCTACTAAACACTGCTACCTTAACATCAATTTGTTTTTCCTTAAGTTTAATTATACAATGTAAGTGTCTTGAAAATGACACAATGAACAAAACGATGCATTCATAACCGTCCCACCTTTAACAGTGACCGAGTAATACGAATATTCCTGACATTTTGACAAATTCTACTCTCACACTACCAACAAAGGGAGGTTATCTGAAAAATGAAAACTTGAATAGGTTTGTTGTTTTCATGAGTGAAATTTCATTCTGGATGCAATATGATGCTTTGAGATCATGTGCATGTGAAAAACAAAAATGTACAGTGATACTTTGATGTTTCTGTCTTGTTTGATGACGTCATTGTTACTGTGATGTCATTATACATGTCATCAATGGACATCAATGACATCATCAAGGCTCACTGATATCAAAATGAACACCAGGAAACCCATCACAACAACAAACTAGCAACACAAACACTTCCCGTATCCGATGAACAGCACAACAATGCCAGTTATTCTCAAACATCAGACAAGTGATACATAGTAGCCGTTCTTATCTTTAGAAGTGGCTTATTTAACATTTTTCACTCGATTTTGACATATAATCCATCCGAAAAAATGTTTTATTATTTCAGTAAAGAAATGAGAGACAAAATAACATCAAAATGATATAAAATATTAATTTAGGATTCCAATATATCATTTCGCTTATAAAATGTGGTAATAGATACAGTATGTTAAAATAAGATTTACACAGCACGATATGACTGTTAAATAAGATTATACGGAACAAAATAATTGTGTTAATGATTTCTAAATTATTGTGACACCCCTTAAACAATGTGTGTACATTTTATATATGAAGATGTGTTTATTTTGGTTTCGTTCAGGGACATTATAATTTGATACAGCTATATTTGAACCTAAAGTTAGGAGTTAAGAGTAATATTGCACGTTTTAAAGGTTTACGACAACTTTCTGGAAATATTTCATGATTGGGGTGGCATTTTTACAGAAATCAGCTCAATGTGGTAATATTATTCTGAAAACTTGTTATAAAAATACATTTGTGTCGGTTAACAAGTTCTCAGTCCTTGTGGTTCATTGGTTTTTAGAAAATACCGCAGATAGTTACTGGTAAAAATAAAAAGTGAAATTAACTACCTTTAACTACCGCAGTTTATCTGTATGCATTGTGTGTCAATATTCGTCATTCATTTAAGCGTCAAGAAACGATATCGGTTTTACATTCCACATCGACATCAGACTGGATAGTAAGTCGTTTATATACTTTTTGCATATAGTTTATAATATACGTCAAAGGTCTATAACATACCACCATATTACATTTAAGTTTTGCATAGGATGACCATTTGGTTTTGTATTAGTCGGGAATTCATACTGTCCCATAAAATCTGGTTATAGTTGTCACACTTATGTATCCAAATCAATCACGTTTTATTGAATAGAACAATGGCCCCAAGACCATAATGCAAATAACAGGTAATTGTTTTCTGTCTTAAGTGATATGTTTCCTCTCTATAATTCCATGTACCAACGTGACTAGCACGCGACACATCGAAATAAGATATTTCGGTAAGTCGAGTTTATACTTAATTATGACTATTTATGCTAGTCAGACGGGTAATGCAATGTCTGATTTTACGAATACAACAGTATTTATCTGTAACCATATCTTTATATATATTTTAGTAAGCGGAATAGGAATGAAATCCGTCAATATTTCAAACCATGTGAGCGGTATTTGTTAAACGTATGGACAACTCTGTGTTCCTGTATACTTAAAAGCGCTTATCGAGATAAAGGTCTTCTGTCTCAGTACGTCACAACTATTTACTGTGTATAATCTGGAGGCGCAACACATATTCTGTTTATTAAGTAATTGTACTTTATAAATAGAATATGGATCGTGCCTACAGATTATACACCGATATAAATTTCTGAACCGTTTATGAGCTTGTAAGCGGGACACTATTTAACAAAACGTTATAAACTTCAAGTAACACTTATTCAGGTATACTACTTGAACATTTTATACAACAATATCTTCCTGTTAAACACGACTTGCCGACATACAGACTCATAGCTCATCAATGTATATGGATATGTTCCTACCCAGATGTAAAACGGAATATCCTTCACAGCATTATCCTGAGAAAAAGAAACCTCTAGTGACACTTGTTTTCACATATCAATCAAATTGTCACGAAATGTGTTCCAATCACTGAAGAGTTCAATACTGTCTATCTCTTACAACAGCTATAGACACATTACTAACACTCACGTTATCGTAACCACCCGGAGTCTTTTCTCAAATCCAAAATGGTGTCTGGCACGTCGCCAAAATGTAATGGTCACGTGATATTTACGTAATAACATAGCTGTTACTGTAGAAATTAGGACAATATTAAAGCACTGGTATACCACACAGCAACATAAATTCCAACAAGATTTATTGATTTCTATTCCACTGTATTGTAGTAAGTGAGGAATCAAGCCATATTCTTTAATTTCAGCTGCTATTACATGAGCAATAATTAACTACCAAATGCAAAAAAGCCACCAAAGAATTCCACTCTATTTTTTCATACCAACAGTAACCTCCCCTTAATTTTCTTTTGAAACAGACTACTGCGTTGAACATGTAGCTCAGTTAGTAAGAGCGACATTATAATTATCGCAGCTCCAGGGTCCAATGACAGTCTTGCTCCGTTTCATTTTCACTCTCATTATTTTTGATTGTTTTCCTCTTTTTTTAAATTTCTATATCGTTTTAGAAAAAAATCTACAATGTATATTTTCTTGTTAGGAATGATGCCGGAAACAAGCCCAATGTTACTGTCATCGCATTATACGTGAATTCCAAACCAAAATATTGTGCATTTAAGACCAAACAGTTTTGTACATTAATTATCGACGATGTGGTATTTATTTGTGAACAACCTTTTGTCTTCATTTTACATTGTTCATTTCATTCTATGATGAAAATATCATTACAGTTGTTCTCACTATTTCTTAATTTTAATATTTTTAATTAATTTATTTCATCAAAAGAATGAACGTGATGTTTAATTTATCATTTATTCGTGTTCATTGTTTTTCAATTGATAATGACGTCATCCGCCTGAGCAGAACAGTGATACCCGAGTGCAAAAGATAAAACTGTAACCGACAAGAACTAAAGCGGTCAAACCAGGAAACTATAAACGTGTTTGACCTCAAAAACATTTGTGATGTACAACTATACATTTTATTCGTTATTTATCTTATCTTATGGATATAGTTTTGAAATAAATGTAAATTTTATGGAGAGTGTTGCCATGTAGTGCTTTTCATAGTCTACCTATATACAACGTGAAGTTTGTAAAACAACATTTACATTTCTACTGATCTATGACTCATTCTAACACGATTCGTTTGTAACGCGTGTTTTGATTGAATACGGACCATGTCCTAATCTGCGATAGAATCATGGTCAATCGTGTTAAGCTCCTCCCATCGCACTTAAACCACGCCCCGTTTCTAACCAAAACCATATGGCGTCAAGATCGCCTCATAGCGAAATCCCGCTGATAAGGCTAGTAGGCAACAGAACAGAAACGACCGATGAAATGCATTTGTTGAATGAATTAAAAAGTAAAAAGAACGCATTCCTTGTTCTTACCTCCATTTATTACTGAAACGTTCGTTCCGTCCATGTAAAGGCATCTATTTAGATCCGAAATCAAATCAAATATTTCACATGTGTCGTATGCATTTACACAAAACTCTTCAAAAATCTATTCAAATAATCACCGATTTTGTCGATAAGCACCAATTGGTATGCATACTGACATGGAAATGTAAGAACTTGTTCAATATTAATCCGAATGTGTCGTATAAACTTTGGTAACAGGACGTTCACGAACAATCCAAATATTCCGCCTCGTCAACATACAGATCGAGCTCTCGCCAGTATGGGCGGGGCTAAATGACCGACTTTTGAAAGCTTCTTTCCGATTGGTCAGTCCGCTGCAGAATGACACGTCGCCAGTTCAGGTCACAAAGTACTTTTGTACAAGGAAATACAATGTTTCTAAACATATTAGCGTAGTATATTTGTTAAGGTGTGTTAGAATGGGGATAGTACGTTGTTTTTCGTGTCTATACTGGCGATTAGAACATGAAATTTGGTTTAAACTCTCGACCTATCGGTCTCGAGTTCAAACACAAATTTCATGTTCTAATCGCCAGTATAGCCACTCAAAACAACGTATTATCCCCTAAATATACCTACCAAAGAACATGAAGGTTATTGGAGTACATTTTCAGTATATTTGAATATATACTTTGGAATAATTATTTAGTATGCATTTGGAGAAAAGAAAACATGTATTTTCATTTAACTTGCAGATATTAAATTGAATTATGCATAAGTATTCATTTGGAGAACAGTATGTTTTCAGTATATTTTGTGATACTGTTTGAAATAATAATTTAGTGTGCATTTGGAGAAAAGATACACGTGTATTTTCATTTAACTTGTAGATATGAAGTTACATAATACGTAATTACATTTTTGGAGAGTACTATATTTTCATTATATTTTATGATATATTTTGGAATAATGATTTAGTGTATTTTAGAAAAAAGTAAACATGTGTTATAATATTCATATATTAAACTTGTATTCATTCATGTAAGTGTTCATTTGAAAAGCAGCATACTTTCAGTATATTTGAAAATATACTATGGAAAATTTGAAATGTATACTTTTGTATATCCATTTGAAAAACCAGTATATTTTAATCACATATGTATACCTTTGGAAAGCTTGCTATTTTCAATATAACTTACAAATTAAAAATGTATTCATTAATGTGAATACATTTGCAAAGAGTATTTTACAGTACCTTTGAAGATATAATAATATGGAAAAATACAAATACATATATATATATCGGAAAGTAGTATATGTTCCGTACATGTAAGGGTTTACATTAGAAAAATCATTTATTTTCAGTACATTTGCAGATATTCTCTGGAATAATAGCTTAGTATGCACGTTTGGAGAGCAATGTATTTGCATTAAAATTTACTTCTTGGTATAGAAGTTAATCGCAAGAAGCCCTGGATAAGTTTGGTTTTATTTATTAGGAAACGTCTACCGGTTTCGCCCGAACAGTGGGCTTCTTCAGGTCTTCCAAATAAATACAACGATTGACTTCTACAATTGGTTTTCACTATTCTTCAATCGCCCTGCATACCGGGTGGTATCCGGGCGAGGGATGAACGGAACCAACCGAACCTAAATAAGGGTAACGGCGTTTGCTCTATTCCTGGACCAAAATTTATTTCTGGTATAAAATGCTATAATACATAGTTGGAGAGCAGAACATTTACATTTAACTTGCACACATTCAATGGAACAACATATGAATGAGTTGATGAATAGAAAATGGGGGTTCTGCGCCAGTCCCATCGCTCCTTCTTTATTCATAGTAAATCCCTCCCTGTCGGAATGGATCAGTGAGGAATGAGTGAGGGATGAGATATCAATACCCTGAGTGACCTGAGAGGTGACGGACTTTTCCCCATAGGTCAGTTGATAACCTCCATCCGAAATAGTCATCATTGAGGGATTGTCTTGCGTCAAGTTTATTTTTAGTAAAACCGGTTCGGACCGCTTCTTTAAGACCCACATAACAACAGCAAGTCATGTATGTTTTTCGGTGTATTACAAAATCTTAACTGGTGGAACAGCAAAGTGTTATCAGTTACACATCGTCAGCCGAGGTGTACACATTACTATTGCGTATACGTAGTTCACCTGTAGCAGACGATTTTGTTGAGAACCAGTCAGTTGCGTGTATTAGGGACCTTGTACTTGTATAGTCTGTTCTATTAACCTTACCGTGTCCTACCTAACAATAAACCAACAACACTATACCTGAGATTGCCTGTCACACAGAACCACTAGAGCGGCGTTAAATCATGATCACATCAAATCAATACACATTTTAATCACATACATGCATATCCCTCGCTTTGCACAATCCTATCAACTAAACCTTGTAAATTGCACTTTGTAGGTTGAAATGCATCCTTGGAGAAAAACCAGAGAGAAAACTACATGAGCCCAACAACTCTGGAAAACCGTGGATGTCTATCACTATATAAATCATGATAACATATTCTATAAAATATCTGTAATCGAATAACTTTGATTTATGGACAAAAGTCACAAAATTTAATTAAATTATTGATCGCTACAGTAAGCAGTCTAGTTCTCGAAACAAACTTTCCGTGCGTCTGTACTTCTCCTATACACTACAAGTATTTAAATAATAATATGATTTATAATATTTGCTGTGGGACGTAATACAATTCTTCAGCGATAATCAACAGCCAATGAAAGATATGTTAGAAGAAAGATCAAAGACGATCAAAGGTATGAAATGGTTCATCACACTTTTTGTGAAAGTCGTGAGTTATGACCAAAACAACGAACCAATCTATGCTGAGCCTACATTAAGATCCATTTATTTGGCATGCATGAGCATGTCCCAGTTACCAGAACAAGTTTTTCGACATCTAAACTATGCATATCTAAATTTTGAGCGGGATGTAAGTGTTTTCTCTGATCTGTCATTGTCTTGCCAAACGTCTAGGTAGTGACACATTCGTCTGTCTGTAAAAGATCGATACATCAGACCCTTTAGGGTTATTATCACTCTTTAGGCGTAATTGGCGTGAGTGACGTTATGCGTGACGTAATAATCCACGTTTTCCTGGTCAATGAAGGCATTCAACCATTTATTTTTCCATTCGCTGCCAGGATCCAAACGAACACCTTTTGCCTTTCTGCCGGACCTGGAAATATTCTTGAAACCGTCTATAATCCTGTCGTGAAGTTTGTTCTTTAATGGAACGACCCATGTCACTGGCGACGAATAAGTACCGCATTCCATCGTTTTCCTTTGTAATATTCGGCACGTCTGCCAAATCACCGTCCCAAAGAGCATCAATACCTTGAGAGATCACTTTTTTGGTTTTAAACTTGTGCCGAAGAGGGCGTTGCAAACTATAGGCGTCTACGTCCTGTAACCACTTTCTGATTGAGTGAGGGACTATTTTGTACTTTCCCTCTTTCTTCAAGTACCGATATATTTTTCCAATACCGGCATAGCTAATAGGGTTGTTCAAATCAAAGTAGATCTGGTCAAAGTATTCTTTCTACCCTTTGATCGAAGAATGAATCAATAATATGCTTTTCACTGTTTTATATATAAACATACCATAACCGGTTGGACTAAACATAGACTTGACGCAAGACGATCGCTCAATGATGACTA